TTTAAACCCTAAATTCTAAAATGTATATTTTAAACCCTAAATCCTAAGCCCTTAAATGCTAACCCTAAAATCTAAAATTTAAATCTAAATCTTTAAACTCTAAATTCGTCCTATGTCTTAAATTCTAAACCCTAAATCCTAAAATCAATATATAAAATGGCCATGATAAGACACATGTCCTTGAGCAAAGTATTTTCTATTTGAAACCCATGACGTTGTATTCCCATCTAAAGTATAAACTCTGTATATAAGCATCATATAGGTGATTTGACTTTAGCATACCGAAACCTTATTTGGTTGGGCAGGTTAAACTTCAAATGGTTATACCAATGACATTGGTTTATGTACAATTGGTAGGAGGGGGGAGGGGGGGGGGGTTTGGTGGATATTCCCACTTTGATTGTCTTATATGTTTGAAACTATAATAAATTATCATGCATTGTGTTTTGTGCCAAAACATCTTATTTGTAAGTGCAGTGACAAATTCAGGAACTCGTTTTTGACAGCATCATTGGCTCATTGCACAAATAATAGGGCATTGTGTTTACAGGTGTCAATGGAATAGTTTTGGGTTGGATCTGTCTAAATCAAAATCAATTTGAAGGGTTTAGACAGACCAATAAGACATTGAATTGGATAAGTCCAAACTTAATAGTCCAAAATATTTATTGGATTGGATTGGACATGGTCCATCCATAATGTATTTATATTGGATTGGGTCGGATTGAACCGATATACGATTCATTGGTAGTAGATAAGAATACAGGTGTCAATGATCAGGTTTGGGTTGAAATCAATCTAAATCAAAGAATTGGATTGTCCAAACACTGAATTGGACCGGTACAAATTGGTCCAAAATATATATAAGATTGGATTGGACCTGGTCCATCCAATCACACTCCTTGTAATCATATATACAATTAACAGTACTTGTGACTTAGAACCTATCTTCTATAGAATAATTGGTAACAGCTGCAACAATACCTAGCTCTAAGAATATCTGAATGGGTGAGGACTGAGGACTGAGGAGGGGTGGTGAGCTGTGTTTCCTCTCTCTCTCTCTCTCTCTCCATGATGTATGACGTATGTGATGACCTTAAAAAGAACAAAAACATATATGGGTATACATTGAAGTTGACTTTTGAGATTGAGTCATAGAGAATTTTCCTCACATTCCTTAGTCTGGCCAATTCGAGCAATGTCAACTGCAGGGATGAATGTTTTTATAATTAAGATGACTTGCTGTTTGTTTTTGCGTCTAATTTGGTAACGTGACCTGTGCGACCCACATTATACATAATCCCCCCCTCAGCTTTGTTTAGTCTAAGTTCATTCCTCTCTACTTAAGTCGACCATGTGCCATGCTCAAGCCTATCCTCTCTCCTTCAAACATTTACTATATGAAAAACCATGGGATCCATCAAGAATATTCCCAAGATATCAGAGCAAATAACTGTCATTCCTTCTTCTTCTAAGCAAAAATTAAAAGAAAGGTTCCAGAAGCCTAATGTAATGTATGGAGGATGTTTATAGTTACTGGTTCAAACAATTTTTTTTTAAAGGTTTTAATGTCAACCAAATGTTCTTCTTCTTCTTTGTTAAGTAGCTTGTAGCTTCATTAATTCTATACCTCACAATATAGGAAAAGAAACATTTACAGTTACTAGTTCAATGTTGTAGTGGTCGTTGCTCCATGCTTAAATTAATAAAGTCAAAACATTTTTTATAAAGGTTAATGCAAAGTCAAACAATATTTACTCGAAACAATTCAAATGGCAAAGCAAATGTTCTTGTTTGATATAAGTACTATATCCCAGTACGGTTCAACATTGGAAGCAAATATTTATGTACATTAATTAGAGTGCTCATCTACTCGAATATGCTTCAGATATCTACTACATTACTTGATTCTTTACTCTATTAGGCAAACAATTAATAGGCGTTGAATCATACAAAGTCCAATATGTAGAGGGGCATGACTTATATTGCACAAGATGTGGCGTACCTCCAGCATGGGTTACCTACTGATTACACTAGCTAGAGAAAGAACTGATAAAATAAAGCACGAAACAAATTGAAATGGGAAGACAATTCTCCCAGCGCTGGGAGAAGCCAATCACATGCATTGAATGAACTTGGTCTTATATATGTTAAGTAAGGCATTTAATTTGTAAATCACAGATAGAACAGATTGTAGTACATCGGTTGCCATCTGAAATTCTCCTTTGAAAGGGTCTGCTGCTTTATTCTAAGTGTGTTATCCCTCCCTCCCTCCTTGCCTGATCTCATTGCTTTCGTATTGTAGGAGTGGAGGGCTCAGGGAGAAAGATCAATTAAACTGGTGATCACTTCTCTATATGACATAGGATCGATGAATGAACCCAGTTTTCAGAAACTTGTAATTTGCTCCATCTTCAGAATTAATGAATTATTAACAACTGAATAGAGTATAGAGATGAGATGACGAATTTTCATTATATGGGTTTTGAGGAAAAGCTGTGCTACTGTATGTATTTGTATAATCAGCTCTAGCTTCTCAAAATACTTGTACCCATTTCCGCCTTGATTTTCAAGCAATTAATTGCTTCATGGTGCGAATGGTAAAGCTCAAGGATGGAACTGATCAAACATCTTCATGGATTAAAATGCGGAGGATATTTACGTAGGATTAAAGGTATAGATACTTGGTGTTGGTGCATGGCATGCGTCGAATTAAAAAAAAAAAAAAGGAAAAAGGGAAAAAGTGAAGGATTCTGCGGGTCCCCAGCCCAGGCCAGACCAGTTGACACAGTGGGATCGAGGCACCAAGAGTGCAGCCACACCGACCTCAGAGTTTCAGACTCAGAGGTTGAATTATATATTAGGAGTCTCGAACCACCTTCTTTCCTTTTGTTTCAGAAGCACTCATCAATTGATCTGTTTTGCTGGAGACTGAAGGAAACTAAGGTAGCTAGAGTGGTGGCGAGTTCATGGGTTGCCGGTCAAATCGTTGGTCGTTGATTAACACATCACCGCTAGGCACGAAGCGTGCCGCCGGTGGACAGAGCCACCCAGCTGCCATGCGGCACGGCACCTCTTGTTCTGTGTATGACTTCTGTATGTGTTAATTGTACGTATAAAGAGTAAACTGTAATATATAATTAATAACTGGATCGCACGGCGTCGCAATGCCGCGGAATAGTTTATTTTATTCGGTCAGAGACACAAATTAATGGCTTCTGTTCTAGCGGCTTTCTTCCACCCTCAAAAACCACGCTAATAAGCCCATCACGCCTTCTCATCTGATCTGATCTCATTCCTTGTCCTTTGAATCATTATAAAATTCAAAAAACAAACAGTTCGTACGCTTCAATATTTCATTTCTGTAATTCTATATAAGCGTTGAGGAACAAAACAAATGATGTCTCTGCACTTGTCAACCATTAAATTAAGAAATAATGATTCTCAAGTATCCAACTCAGTGCCTGCTAGAATCTACGACGGTTAGATTAGTTAGCTCTCACGTAAGCAGTGATTCGTACATTCTCGGGTGACTTCTGGTGTGGGCTTGGAACGGGTGGAGGTTCCTCATTGATCAATAGAAGAAGAAGAAGAAGAAGAAGAAGAAGAAGAAGAAGAAGAAGAAGAAGAAGAAGAATACACAGCTGAGAAGATGCATTGCTTGTTCTGTTTCTCTGGAAATCTTGTCTGTCGCGGCCGCTATCTTCAACTGCAACTCACCTTAAAAAATGAAGGTCAACTCCCCCTGATCAATTTGCTGGTTTATCTGTTGTTGTTATTTGCATCAAATCAAAGCAAATTCAAAAGGGATGAAAAAGCAAGTCTCGTCTGCCAAATATTACAGCCGGAAAAATTTTCCGGTCATTCCACGATGAAACTGCAAAATCAACCAAATGACGACGAATATAATCACAAAATAAAAGGGTAATTCAAGAAATGAAAATTCCCATTGATTTAAATGCATGCTCTGAAAAGTGAAGAAATTAATGGATTTTGATTGTAGGCAATTTCCACAAGGTTCAGAAATTAACGATAGTAGCCAACTATTATTCTATGAACCAGACCTGCCCCCACACGTCAGGCTGATATCTGAATCTTATTGACCCCGCATCTTCTTCTGTGTTGCCGTGGAGGACTGATTATTGTTTGTTTCAATGCAGACCGGTTCCATGATGATGATGGATGGATGCACGGATCGAATTAAAGCCCACCACCTACATACCCAGTCCAAACGAAAGATTCTCACTGCATTTGGCCCTCGTTTTGTAACCAAATTGGGCTCCGTAGAGAAGTAGAACTCACAGGTTGTCGAGATAGACCTCTGTTCTGTATCTCCATTTCATGGTTAGACTGAGGAGAGCTGTGAGGCCTGAACCTGAAGCCTGCATGAACAAAACAAAAAGATACAATCCAAACCCATATTCCCAAACCACAAACCAAAGTCAAAGTTGTTTTTTTTTTCAGGTGGGAGAGCCTCGTTTCCTCTTGGGGTTCTTGCCACCTGTCAACCAAGGACTCAAGGATGAGGGAGGAGGTTTTCCTTAGTTTATCTGACTTGGGCAAATCTCCTATTTACGATGTGGATACTGACTGGATTGTGGTTTTCGTTTTGACATTCTCTTTCTTTGAATTGAACTAGCTAGCTGATTTATATATGAGGTAGTAGGACCAACAAGCAACAACCAACTGGTGATGCTTCAAACATGTGACAAGTGGCAAGTTATGCGGGTCCCACATCCTTCCAGTTTCCAAATACGCAACACTCATCCATTTAATAAATGTAAAAATGTAAAATTTCGTCCTCTCTTTTTGAATAATAAATTAATAATTATTTATATGGGGAGTCAGAGAACAGGTCTTTTACGCAGCCGGCCGTTGAACCGCCGACCTCTTTTTGTATGTTGGAATCCAGACAAACACAAAGTCACGACCCACTGCTTTTTAAAAAAAAAAAATTAATTATTCTATTATACATATATATAAAATTACAAACGGAAGGAACAAAAAAAATACCAACGATCTGATATCCACCTGTACAAATAAAAACGGTGAATTGAACAAAACAGAACAGAGAAAGCTTCAAGGTAGCTAGATCTCTTCATGGATGGATGCCTCACGCCTAATGGTGTCGTCTGTAAGAGTTGTAACTAAACAACAAGTCAACAACTAATACAACTATGACTCTTTATTTACAGAAACGAAGAGGGTCGACCAAATATCATATTCATACAGGTGATTGATCGGGTTTTGTATCTGAAAATGCAGTTGAAGAATCCTTCTCTCCGTCTTGTTTCAGTGCCTCCTCTTCCTCTTTGCTGCCAACAGCAGGGACGGCCCCGGTCAGCGCTTGAGCTCTCTGGGCTTCAGAATTCCAATCTGTTCGACCCAAAACGAATAGCATGATGAGCACGCAGGAGCCCTGGGCGGCCAAGAGACCGAGCCATAGCCCTTCGAAGTCCCACTCGGCGAAGAACCCCAAACCCACTGCCACTGGCATTCCGAAGAGATAAAACGAAGTTAAATTAATGTTGGCACCCACCCTCGGCCGAGCTGTTCCTCTCAACACTCCGCAACCTGTTGTCTGTGGGCAGTTCCCCAGCTCGCACATTCCGATTATTGGAAGAACGAGCGAGGTTAATGCGATAATCTCGGCGTCGCGGGTGAACATGCGCGCCCATACTCCCCGCACACTTACTGCAAAGGTTAACGCTGTGAAGCCTAACAGGAAGCTGCAACAAAGGCCGACGATTGCTGCTAGCTTCGCTTTCGCCGGCTGGTTCGCACCCAGCTCATTACCAACCCTTGTGGACACACCGAAGCTCAGAGATGACGGGAAAATGTAGATTAAGGCGGTGGTTTGAATCAGAATACCCATGGAAGCTACGGTTGCTCTGGGATTCAGTAGCAACCCACAGAGAAAAATCATGATTTCATACCACCACCATTCTAGACAGACCGAAATGCAGCTCGGAATGGCTAAGCTCAACAGAGATTTCCAGCCTTTCAGGCATTCCGAGGAAATACCTGCCCAAGTTTTCCTGTAAATGCCTGAGATACAGATATAGATGATCAAAGAACCTACCAGGTTAAAGTTAGTCCAGATGCCACTAAAAGCTACGCCTCTAATTCCGAGATTGAGAACGCACACAAGGAGGTAATTGATGGGAATGTGCAGAAGAATGGCAAGAGCGGCACAGTAAGTTAATGGCAGTGTTATTGATTGACTCCGGAGATAGATTCGTAATGGGTGTAGCAGGGATTGTAAGAAGAGGTCAGGAAGAGAAAACAGGATGTAAGATTGTGCTTCTCTCGCTATATCTTCGTCTTGGCCGAAAAACACCAGAATTCGCTCCATATTTATCCACAGAAGAGATATGGGGACTGAAATTAAGAGAAGCAGAAGGACCATTCTCTGCAAGGAGAGACCCAGAAGTTTGTATCTTTTGGCACCAAAGGCCTGGCCACAGATTGGTTCCATACCCATTGCGAGGCCAGATAGTATGGAATATCCAGTAATGTTAGCAAAGCCAATGGCAAGAGCACCGCCGGCCAAAGCCAGCTCGCCGAGGCGGCCAAGGAAGAGCATAGAGATCATAGAGCGAGAGTAGAGCAATAGACCTGTGAGTACCATGGGGAGAGCGATATTAGCTATGGACTTGGCTTCTGTAATGGCGAGAGACAGGTGAGTTTTATTGGGTTTCTGAACTTGTTCTTGTTTCTGCTGTTGTATTTGTTCTTGTTCTTGTTCTTGTTGTGGTGGTTGAGCCGTTGGGTGTTTGGAGATGAGGGGAGCAGCCATATTGTTTGGGTCTTTGGTCAAAGGACCGTAAGCTTGGTTTGTGATACATTTACAGGAACCGGGGGAGGAAGTTAATTGACACATCTCTGTGGCCTCTGCTTTTCACAAAGAGAGCAGAAACAGAGAGAGAAGGCGGAAAAGATGAGAAAGTTATAAGGGTTGATCGATACTCGATAGGACTTGGGAGGAGGAAGGAAGCCACGCACAGAGAGAGAGAGAGAGAGGAATTCAGTTTGGGAGGGAGGTGGGAATTCGACTTGTTTAAATGGAGGATTTTCGAATTAAAATATAAGAATATCCACTTTTTTGCTTAGTATATAATTTGCTAATTTTAAATTCCCAAAAAAAAGTTATTTGATGATGATGTAATTGTGATGTAACTTCTTTTTTGGGGTGAAGTGAACAGAATTTCACTTTGGGATGATCATCCCACATCAAAGAGTGGTAAGATACTAAAGATTCATGTTGTTTTGAAGAGAGGTCATTGCAGAATTATACATATGTATGTATTTGTGTACGTATGTATGCATTACAATGAATACTATTATTATTATGCAACGTAGTTTATTCTGATACCTCTAACAGGTAAGTTGTCGCAGGAGATTTTGGCTCAAATATAGTTTTGAATGGTTTTTAAATCGATTTACACAGTTTTTGGATTTGACCCATTCTGTATTTGATGTCGGCAGGAGAGGGTGGATGCCTATCTTCTCGTGGTTCCACTTAAAACTAGAGAAATAGAAAAGATTTTGAATGGGAAAGTAACAGCAGCAGCAGCAGCAGCAGCAGCAGCAGAAGAAGAAGAAGAAGAAGAAGAAGAAAGAAGCATGGGTTGTGGGTTATGGTTATGGCCCCTCCAATATGGTCTCTATTGGCTAATGTTGTTTGTCTGTGTGCCCGTCTCTCCTCTTCTACTATCTGACAAAGAACAAAACTGAAAGAGAAAAATCTAGCCAAGTATAAACATTATTAAAAATCAATTGATGCAGAGAAGTACAAGTTTCTAGCTAGCTACATTTTTCATTTTTCACAGTTAAAGGTGTTGTTCTATATGGTGGGGAAGAATTCACGACCATGATCACTTTCACATGTTGAAGATATTCTTTGGGATTCAAACAAGTAATAAGTAATAAAAGGAGTGCAGTTGTTACAAATGATATCAATCTTTTGGAGCCCGTGAAATCAATCCATTTAGAAATAATTGAGTGTGCCCTTTGTTGAGGGGTCCATTTGGTTCCACCAAAAGTGGAACTTTTGATTTAGTCATTCTGAATAAGGTAAAGAATGGCCACTTTTCTGTTCTTGCCTGTTGGTGTTTTCCTCTTCTTGGATATTCCTCCTGCACTTTGATCCCAACATGTCAAGATTGGCAGAGTTGCTCGGCCTCGGCTTGTTCTTTCTTGATTGCCAAATTTGTCTAGAGCTCTCCACAAGGGGGGCAACAAGTGCCCAACCCAATGGAAGAGGAACACCATTTCGACTCAAAAACCATACACAGGCATAGTCTTAGGTCACAGATGCGGAAAATCTTTAATCTGTACTAAGTTTCTGAAATTCCAGTCTCTTAACTTGACCCCCTGCATCTGGGTTCCCACTAGGGTCGTTCAGGAACTTCCTTCAATCAATTGGGTCTCAAGTAATGAAGTCTACAACTCTAATCTAAAATAACATAGGTAGTTAGCTTCCGACTGTTGTTACAATTAGGCTACATTTAGCCAGCGATGACATGAACAGAACAGATTCAAACCTCAACCAGCCATTTCAATGAACTTCGTCAAGATTTGAGAGCTGGGTACGAGTCTAATCATATTATTTGTTAATCTCTCGGTCTAAATACAATTGTCAATCTTTCAATCTTCTGTTGTCGTTCAACTCTGCAATTAACCTCAATCAAAGCCCGTTTTCTTTGAAAGCTTCAAAAACGATTTTTTTTCTCCTTTTTGTCAAACCAAACGTCAAGCCTCACAAGTGGACTTATACGCACGTGCCACATGTGATTATCTGGGTGCTGTTGAGTGGTACCGACATGGGAGTTGCAGAGATGGTGGCACTCTCTGAGACGCTGACTGGGTAACGATCAGTTCAGAGTTTCAGAGTTTCAGAGTTTCAGAGTTCAGATGTCACAGCGTTCCAGAGTCCTTTAGATGATGAAGCTGTGGAAACTCGGGTATCGAGGAGGAGGAGGAGGAGATTCAGTGCACCCTACACCGGTATGTGGATGGGAGACAGAAATGAAGTAATGTCTCTGGGTGGCGAGCCTTGACTGTGACACGCGTACGATAGATTTTTGTTGCAGGTGGGCCCAATGGATAGAAGCCAATGAATGAAATGAAATCACTGATAAGAGAGATCCTTGCCCTAAACCTATCTATACCTACTACGGTCTCTCTACACAACCTACCCTAGTAATCTACTATTAACAATTAACAAATGCCCTTATAATTGACATGTTGACATAGAAATATAGAATAGACTAGGGCAGGTGAGAGAAAATGGGGCCATTGACACTACCCAAGGGCACATCATGTTCGTGGGCCTGAAGGGTTAAGGCCCATTAGTTAAGAGGCCCTAGGTTAGGCCATTGTGTGGTCCATCCAGTTAAGGAAGAGGAGTTAATAGTGGTTTGGTTGGTCAACTTTTGGGGTATGGTTGGGGCCTTCTTAATCCCCACTCACCTTCCCCTTCTTCCCCCCAACAACAGAATGAAAAAAAAAAAAGAAAAAGAAAGAAAAAAAAAAGAGAAAAAGTAGAGTAGCTGCTGATTGAACATCAAGTGATATATCTACATATACAGAAGAAGGAAAAGATTGATGATGAAGCAAGCTACAGTCTCGGGCCCCCACTAAAATCCAATTGGGCAGTGAGCCCAATGGGTTGGCCATTTGACGAGGTGATGAATGTAAGTGCAATAAGACTTGCCAGCTACCCCCTCGTGGGTTGCCTTTGTCAAGCACAGACGCCTAACATCTGGGAATGGGTCACAATCAAGCCCTACTACAATAGTAAATGGGCTGCTTGTTGCCTCTTTCAAATTATTGACTGGACCCATTAACCATTACCCATTTTCTTTTTAACCAGCCCAAAATTTACAACTTATAATTGTCTCTCGAATACTTTTATATACATACATAGATATAAACTCGAAGCATTGAAGCTTATAAAATACATAGAGTATCAGAGGATGAACGATCGATTGACCAACATTGTTTATATTAAATTTCATGAATTGAGTGACTTTTGGGATTAAGTCCCCCTGCTCTGCCCCAATTAATGAAAATGTATTAATTGGATTAAATTAAATTAATTGTTTTTTACGAAAAAAATAAAAAAAAAAGTATTTAATTGATGAAATAATATAATAGAAACCCATTTTCTGTCAGGAGTTGAACAGGTCATCTTGATTGGTTGTTCGCGTGGCTGTGAATGCAGGGATATTCTTGTTAGAATTAATATAAAAAAAAAAAGATTATCAAAGGGGTGGCTTAAATTTCAAAATTAATTAATGTCTGACTTTTTGAACCAGTTCCTGATAAGGAGAGTAGGGCTCTCATGGGTTTAATCAGCGGGAGCGCTTCCATATACTCATCCCTCCTCGTTCCATGTAGCAATTATTTTTCCAATTTCCAATCCCTGATGACCTGTTTGGCAGTATGGACTGAAATGGCATAGAATGGTGTCAGGTGTCAGCTCCGAGGTTGAACCGGTTCAACAGGTAACCGGTTTGTCTACATCTGTCTTGAGTAGTTTTATTTTATTGAAACCAGGAATTAGTCCTAAGTCCCAACTACTCTTGGGAGTGGGAACAGAGATCTGTACCCTAGGAATGTGTAAAGTGAAAAAGGCTGAGAATGGATCTGTAAATCTCTAATCCTTTTCCTAGTTCCTACTCCCCAACCCCAAGTAGAGGATTATTTACACAAAAATGGTCTCTCATCTCTGGTTGACAACAAAATCTCAGGGAAACACACCTTTAGAAGGAAGAGTGTTTGTTCAAAAAGAAAAAAAAGAAAAGAAAAATATATAGATGAAGATAACTAAAAATCATTATTAAATTTTGTTTAATATAATATAATAAATAAAAGAAAAAAGTAGGAATGAAGCTAGAATCCTCTTCTACTATGTTTGACCAAAGACTGATGAAATAAATTGCTGAACATCAATCAGAGAAGAAGATGAATTGGTTCCTTGTTAATTAAGAAGCTGTGAACCCATACATTGTTTTCCCCTCCCTCCACCTAATAGCACCTCGTTCCTGTACAAATATAGTGCAGGGTGTGGCTCTAAGTTCCAGATTGACCAGGAAGGAGATGAGCTTGACCAGAAAATGGAGGAGCAATTGCAGAAGTTTCTTTTTTTTTTGTGAGGACTGAGGACCCCAATTCCAATTGTAGAGAGTTTGGTTTTTGTGCCTTCTTCCCCTTTGGTGGAATTTATTCAAGCACAGCTTTCATGGCCCTCCTCCCTTTAAGAAAAGCAACCTAGCTTTTAGCTAATGTAAAGCTGTTGAGGCCACTTCTTTTGAGTATCAAATTCTTGAAACCAGCTTTGGATATCATGAAATCATGGCTCAAATAATTTTGAGCTTAGGGATGAGAACTCACATTACTTGCATTCTCAGCTGACTTTTGACTGAACTCTTGACCAAGATTTCTATGTATTTCTACCAAGAGACATGCTACCGAAACTCCTGTAGATTGCATGCAATCCCCCAAACATTATACATGTCCCATTAATACCTTTTTTTTTTGCTTATTTTTCTAATAATAAGATACTGTTGTTTGAGGAGTCTGTAATGTTAGGCTAGCTACAGTTTCTATGCTTGCTATTAGTTTCAAACCTTCAGTGAAATGACCAAATTCCCCTAATGGAATTTCATAAGTTGTGAAAATATTTTGCTTGTTATGGGTCTATAGGAATACCAATTTCAACAAATTTCTGGAACTTGGGATATTATCTGTTCTTTGACCAACCCAATTTCAACAAATTTCTGGAACTTGGGATATTTCTGTTCCTTGAGCAACCCAATTTCAACAAATTTCTGGAATTGAGCAACCCAATTTCNAACAAATTTCTGGAATTGAGCAACCCAATTTCAACAAATTTCTGGAACTTGGGATATTTCTGTTCCTTGAGCAACCCAATTTCAACAAATTTCTGAAACTTGGGAAATTATCTGTTCCTTGACAAACCCAAATTCAACAAATTTCTGAAACTTGGGAAGTTATCTATTCCTCGACAAACCCAACCCAATTTCAACAAATTTCTGGGTAATC